AATCAAAAATAACAGTCAGATTTATATAAATTTACTGGGTGTGCTTTAGAGGACGGACAATTACCACACCTCTACTTTCATAAATGAATCTACTTTACAGATTAGAAGAAAACAGAAATCTGATAGAAAAGTGTTACGTTAAAGATAATTCATTTTGCCTAAATTAAGTTTTTAAAATCCTTAAAAAAAAAACAAACTCACATGGGCATTTATAAAACATAACAAACGAAAAGTAGCTAATGCTAAATCAAGCCAGAGCTCAGAGCTAGCGACCAACCCGCAGCCTCGGTATCAGCAAACAATCAAAACTATTATGAGGAAAATAATTTATTTATTAAGAGTGTAAAAAGAAAAAAAAAAAGGTAGACATATAAACATACTGGTAAATGATCTAACTTATTGCAGTTTGGGGGAAAGTAAAGTTTAATAATATATTTTAATATGAAAATAACATTTTAAATTTAAGAAAAAGTTTATTTTTGTTTGTATATGTTGTCAGTTACAGGCGGGGGGAAAAAAAGGAAACTGGCCTACAAAATTGCAATCAGTGCATCTCTGTAAGTAGCTTTTAGAGTGAACAGCAACATATAGGTTTGGTATATTACTTTAGTTGTTTAATCTGAAAAGAAAATTAAATTTAAAAAAAAAAAGCTTCATGAAGTTTGGTTGATCAGAAATACTTTATCTCCGTCTGGAACCTGAAAGGTCCTTTTCCTCTCTGAAAACGTCAAAACTCAAACCGTTTACAGCGCTTGAGAAACAGTTAATTAAATGCATTTTGTACTATTGATTATTTTAACTTAGTTAAGCCTTTAAAGTATGTTTTCAAGCAAAACTGACTAAATGTTTCCTATTTGTGGATTTTCACTTCTGAAAATACTAAAAAGGCAAAAGAATTAATTGACTAATCAATAATTAAGCTCACTGTGGCAGCTTTAGTACAGCTAAAAATTTTCAAATGAAGCCCAGATATTATTGTTATATGTGAACTAAATCATAGTACCAGTATTTAGTAAAATACCAGCCACGTTTTTCACACTGCTGGGTGACACATCTGAGGCGGCACATTCCCTGTAGACGTTAGACTCTGAAAACAGCATCAGGGTACTGAAGTTGAGCAGAAATGAAAAGTCTGCCTTTTTCATTCTCTTCGTTGTCTCGCTTATATGTCCTCCTCCTCTCTTTTTGTGTCTTATGGAGGTTTGACAGAAGTTTCTCTCATCCCTGCTGGCAGCAGTTGCCATGGTTGTATCAGTGCCTCTGAATTACATGCAATGATATTTCCATGGACACAGATCAGGAGGACACTGGGCTTTGAGATGTAGGAGGGAGGCAGCTTACCACTGTCAGCAGATCTCTGTGTTGGACTGAAGGAGACTGAGTGAACGGGATGTTAAACAGAGAGGAGTAGGAAACAGAAAAGGAGGGAGAGTGCTAACCAGGGACAGTTTTATGTTTTAGTACAAATTTAGCTTTTCAGTTCACCTAAGTTTAGTTTATGCAACAGCCACCTGAAGGTATGGTGTGGTCTCCACAATAATATAGAGAAACCCAATGAGCTGCACTTGGCAAAAGTGGAAAGGTAGAGTTCCCTTTTAATAGGAAGAAACCTTCAGCAGATCAGAGCTCAGGGAGTAGCAGCCATTTCTATGGTGCATTTAGCAGAATATCATCACAGCTGAGCACATGGTGGGGATGGATATTTCCAACTAAGATTACAAGCTTATATGTATATATATCACACACACACACATATATACTTAAATGATACTGGCTCTTTAAATTTTACTGGCATCAGCCCTAAAAACCGTGATGAAAACCTTAAATGATAGGAAAAAATTAAATAATTGGAAATAAAAACAGCAGAAGATCACTTCTAGTTAAAAATAATGTCTGAAATTTGGTACATTCTAACATCAGAGTAGATACCATTGCCTCATGGTGGCCTTGCTGGTGAATAACTGATTAAATATAAATTACTATAATTCCTTAGCAGTTAAAACATTTTTTTAAATCTCATAAATTAAAGCTGATTACTTAATACCAGATCAGTTGTGGTGACTCAGAGACTCAAAGGTAGAAGACACATAAAACAAAGTTCTTCAATGGCATGGCGACATAGCTTTATTTTAAAGGGTCAGTAGACCTGTGTAGTTAGGTGAACTAAAAAAATATAAATGATGTAATTAATAGATAGTTTAGCAAAGCTCATTTGAGTTTCAGCTCACAGCTTGGTGATTAAATTCTGGCAGCTGTTTCTTGATCTTATCACTGAGCAATGGTTTCCTCTGATTTAGCAGAATATTTTTAGCAAATGATCATTGATCTGTTTAAGATGCCAGCAGCGATGTGGTTCGATTTCTCGCCTACCAAATCCCGGTCTTATTTTCTCACAGTTTCCCAGTGAAAGGGAAAATCTTTGTCTCAACATAAAGGTACTCTCAAACGGCCGTCACATAAAGCTGACATTTCCATTCCTTTCTTTTAATCCATCTCCTTCACTGTCATTGTAACCTCGGTAATGCTCCTTTTCATAACTCATCTTTCTTCACCCTGTTTGACAGCAGGGACTCAGCCTGAAGATAAAAAGCCCTCCTGCATTTTCTCCTTCTTGACCTCCTTTTGCTTCTTGAACGACAAATCACTGACAACTGCAGATGGTGCTAATGGTCACACCTGAAGGCAGAGTGTCCATAATACAATATGCAGAGGGCAGAATAACAAAGTGCGAAGCTGCATCTGACTGCAGCTCTTCTGTCAGATCTCCCACTGACTGTCCATCTGTGTGTGGCAGACTGACCACAGTCTGTGTACTTGAGGCCAATATCACCTGATTCATTTTCAATATCATACTTTTGTGGTCAACTGATGATTATTGATGATATGTATATAATTTTTAAATTTTTTTAGAAGTTGCTGAAAACTTCCTGGATCCCAGGGTTGCTTGATTTATCGATTTATTTATTGATTTATCTGTCAATGATTTCAGATGATTTACAAAATTATGATTTACTATTTCATAACTACACAGAAAAAATATTGTAAAGAAAAGGTCCAACTATAAGTACCACAGTGGCCATAATGCAAGACAGACCCCACATTAAGAGCTGTTCTCAAATGCTTTTTACTTCTTAATTAGACATAGGTGTAAAAAACAAAACAAAATAAAAATACAAATAATTTATATCCTTAGTTTTCCTATTTGTTAGGTGTGTAAAAATTGTCATCACAATTGCGTTTTGAGGCTTGGATGGTGTTTATTGAAACGTTAGTCTTGTGGACCACAGTCTACAAGGCTGCATAGCAACTGCTTTCAAAAAGGTCTGTTTTTATTGTAATACCAATACTGATTTCTTAAATCTTGTCTCCAGTGACAGCCCAGTGCCCATAAAATGATACTTACAATGAGCAAAAAAACTAAACTAAAAGAAGCAAACTAAGTTAAAGAAATAAAAATAGAAATAAATAAGAAAATCCAAAACCTTAATCATTATTTAACAGATGGAAAATATGGGTAATTGCTAATAATTAAACAGCTAATGTTAAGTGTGTACAACATTTATGATTGTTTAATACTTAAATATTTTTGTTGTTCAAATAGAGCTTTACTGACCTCAGAAATCTTTTTTTTTTATGAAGCCCTGAGTTTCAGGCTTTAAGATGCTTTGCCAAGCTTGTTGTGCTGCTGTTCATGTGTTCAGCTGCTAGTGGTGGGAGGGGCTTGAAGCATAACTGTCTGCAGGGGTGCTCTGTGTTTGTAGCTGTAACATGTTAGTTAGCAACAAGTTGCTGCCAGGTTAACTGATTCCTCCTTTTACTGTTTATGCTAAGTTTAAGTTGCGTACACAGGAGCCTGCCAGTTGTGCTACTTTTGCATGAAACCTTTTTTTGCTAGCAACCAAGCATATTTTAATCTGTCATCCAGTTCAATTTTTAGCCAGTATGTAAACTTAAAAGGATAAAAAGAGAAAAAATATAAAGTGTTCTGTTATACCACACTCCCCTCAGCATTCATCCTGTCCCTAATATCTTCTCTGAATAATAATGTATATAATAAATCAGACAGAACTCTCTCATCAACCTCTCTCTGTCATTTTTAACACTAAAATCTCTAGCAGGTGTCTGACCTTGAATTTTCCTTTAAGTGGAATAAACTTAAACTAGACTTCTTTATACCCTCTGGAGTTTTTGTTTTAACTTAATTTTTTGATGGTTTTAGCACTTTTTTCATTGATTAATTGATGTGTCCTAGTTCTGCTAAGTGTTGCGTTATCTCAGATGAGCTGTTCCTTTTAGGTTATCCCCACATTCTTTACTTCACAAAGGAAGGATGAAAATGTTGTGGGATTTAAGAATATTTAGATTTCAGTTTGAATAAAGAAAGCCTTCCATTATGTAGTGTAAAAATTTCTACAAGCGACCTGTTATTCCAGCAAAATGACATCCTCCTGGAACATTGTGGAAATAACCACATGCAAAAATGAGGAGCTGTAAGAGTGGTGCTTCACATCTGACATGTGTCCTTGTTGTTCTGGATGCTGTTTTTTGACTCAGGTGCTCCTCGCGCGCTGTGCTACACTCAAACAACACAAGTTTCATCTTGACGGTTTTCTCATTTGTTCATCTGCATATCTGTCTGCTGAGTGTGTGGCACCGCTGCTGTGCGCTTATTAATAATACATCCTCAGCGTCTTTGTAGTGACAAGAGCCCTCAGACCGGTAATGTTGCGAAAGCAGACTAGCTCTGCTGTAACGCTCAAACTGATCAAGAGTTTACACAAAGCTTTTGCCTTCCAGAGAAAAACATCATAGACATTGTGGACATGAAGGCCACACGGTTGATTTGCACAAGCTCTGCAGAGGCAGGAGCTGTGTTTGTGTGAAAAAATACTAAAGTGAATGTGTCTGTGAGTTTTAGCTTTAAGAGATAGTTTGGGGATTACACTGCTGCGGTCATAACGCCAAAACGTTTTTTGTTTCTGTGCATCGTTTTCTCACAGGGGATTCGTTCACGCATTTCCGGTTTGCAGAAGAAAAAGAATGGGAGATGGACCAGCTTGATATCAGTCAGGTAAAATTATATCACCACCGCTCCTTTTTAAAATTGATTTATGGAGTTTTACGTCTTTAAAATACACAGCAGTTACAGTTATAAAGAATATTCCGATTAAGATATCAGATTCATACTGTTGTTGTAGTACAGTGTTCATGTGCTTAATGTTGGACAAAAGAACAAGTTCATCCATTTACTATGAAGACTTTGAATCTGATAGTGCTCTCACTCACCTAAACTGTAGATACAAACATTTGTTTGCAGTCTGTGTTCTCATTTGTTCTCCAGATGGCAGGGATTGTTTTGGACCTCCCAGCTCTTACCCAGATTCTTCAAGAAGTGCCTTTGCATCAGAAGCTCGACCTGGAGCCCGAGCTGATTCAGGCAAGTATCTCGCACAGTGTTAGCTGATGCCCAGCACACTGTGGTTGGGTGTTGTTCAGGAGAAAATGCAAATTACGCAAGAAGGAAACACAGTTGCTTAGGTAAAATTTAACCACAAATATGTTTATATGGAGAAATTAGGTTTTCTGTGTTCTGTGAACAAAAGATTTTATTTGCAACTCATTGCATTCATTTATTACATTTTACACAGCATCCCAACTTTTTGAGATTTAGGGTTCCAAGATATGGCATGGAGGCATGTCAGGTTAAATTAAGTATATATAAAAAAACTAAAACAATAGACTGACCTTTTTGTATTTATTGATACATGTCTGGTTATTTTCACCCAGTAGATTAATACACTGTGTTGATTACCTTCTGAGAAAAAAGAAAATATGGCTTCTGTATCTTTGTGTTTTTCTCAGAGACATTCATGACAAGAGCAGTTTTTTTTATTTGTTTTTTTTTACTTTACCTGATGTTTCAGGTCTCAGCACCAGTAGAGCTGCCCAGTATGACTCTAGCACCTAAACAGGAAGTGCCAAAAATGTCCAAATTCACACCTCCATCCACAGCTTCAAAAAGCCTCAGCATCAGCCAGAAAGTCCCCGTGGATGCAAACCCAGTGGGGGGCTCAGGCTCACAGCTTTCTTCCTCGGCTGCTGCTACTGAGACTCTGGTGGATGATGCTGACGAAGAGCTGGACAAGCTGCTCAACTTACAGAAACCAGCGTCAGGTGATGTAGGAAACGAGCCTGTCAGTGGTGCAGAAATGGAGAGTGCTGTTACAGAGAAGGGCAAGTATATTTAATGATAGTCTGTCCCTGCACGTTGAGCGATGTGGGATAGCCTGGGGGAAATATAGAAGATTAATGTCGCTCTTGAGTCTGTATGGAGAATAGTAAGCTTCAGTTAGCTCAGTGTAAAGAAAGAAATTCATTAATAATATTTACTGTATATTTACTTTGTCGTGCACAACATATATCTTTTTGACGGTTGCGTGAGATCATAATCTTTTAACTGGAAAGAGTAAGCAAAACATGGCATGCTAGCAGTTTAACCTTATAAGTGGCCATTGTGAAACTTTGGGACCTAGAGATTCAATAGCTATAGATCTTAGAGTTATTTTATTATTATTTTTTCTTATTTTGGATTGACTAGTTTTTGTTTTTACGTCATTTGATATTTAGATTTTTTTTTTTTTAATTCAGTTTAGTTTTAGAGTGGATTTTTTTTTTTTTTTTATTGTTGAAATTGTTTGGTTTTAGTTTAGATTATTGGGCTCATTTTACCGTTTTTAGTTATTATTGTATGACGGTCATGTGTCGTAGGCAACATTTGGAAAAATCAGTACAGGCATTACAAGAAAAACTGCTTTTTGAAAGCATTTGACTCACCGACATCCAGAGTCTCAATAAACAGCCATCAATGGCTCATTAGGCGAGATGTAATAAAATTTTACCCAACTAAAAAAATACTAACACTAAGGATCTTTCCTACATATTTTTATTTTAATTAGTTTTTCTTTAAATCCAAAATTGTAGTTTTTGCCCCTCAGCCATAAAAAAATGATTGCTTATTATTTTTACCCTGCCAGGCGGTCAGGCAACATGGACCTAAGCATGCAAATAACATTTTTAAAAAAAAAAGTATTAAAAAAAAAAAAAAAAAAAAAAAAACCCAAAAATTTAAGGTGGTTTTTTTCCCCCACACACGTGGTGTTAGATTAACTACTAGAGAGATAAGATAAGCTACCAAGGATGTTAACTTCCACCTTTTGTGCTGACAAATTACTTTGGGCAATGTTTAAAGCCTAATGTTAACGCAAAAAAAAAAAAATTGATGACTAAGCAGGCTGTTCTTTACATATTGAAAAATATCCAGCTATTACTGCAAGAGCAGCAAATTAAGACATTTTCTTGAAAGCAAATTTTTCAGTTGCACTGAACACTTACCGGCTCATAACTCTGAAACAGAGATTCATACCACACAGAATTATTTTTTTTTTTTAACACTTTTAGTATGTTAAATATACTAATGTTACTGAGTTTTAGAGATGCTGGATGGTTGTTGATTTTCTGCTTTGCATGATTGCAATATTCACATGTGGTGTAATTAAAGCACAGATAATGAAGTTAAAATTACTTAGCAAAAGGTAAGTTTAGAGGAAAGACTAAAAATATGTCTCCCATCATGTTATTAACCTGCAGAATGTGAGGAAGTGAAAGACGTGACAGCAAAGCCAATGGAGGTGGTGAAGGACAAAGACATCGCACCTCCACAGTCTGCGCCCAGCAAACAGGAAATGACTGAGGAAGACCTGGAGGACTGGCTCGACAGCATGATCTCCTGACCCTCAGGGAACGTGGTTATGGCAGTTCAATCGCTTCAACTTCCATCCTTTGAAAAATTACGTCCACCTGGAAGTTTGATGCTAAAGTTTGATGCTTCCTCGTTTCACATGGACCTGCCCCCCCCCTGTGCTGTAAGAGAGGCAATATGTTTTGTTTTGGAGGTGTAGAGGTTGGGACAGTACATCTCGAACATTTGTGAGTGTATGTCAAAACGTTCCTGGAGCACACCCTGTTTCAGAGAGAATTCTCTGTTCCCTGTGAAAGTTTGACTCTGGAGTGTTTTGCTTCAGAGGATTGGTGACAGACGGGTAGTGAAAGAGGTCACAGACGACAAGTTTGGTTCACTGCGTCACTTACTTTATTCATTTCCTCCCCCTCATCAAAAAAGAAATGCAGTTTACCAAAGCTACTACATACATATAAATGGCCAGACAAGAGCGGGTAACCAGTTTGTCGTCAATAAATTCCCGAACCAAGTTTTGCTGTTTAATTGTCCGTTTGTTGTGGGGTTCCTCTACTGTAGAAACAAGTGCAGGTGGGAAGGACACCACAGTTCAGGAACAAAACCAAACTAAGCAACATTTACACAAGAATCATCTAGATATTATACAACAAATATTTCTTTTTCTTTCTTTCTTTTTTTTTTAAATGTAAAAGCCCAAAACTAGCTTTACCTAAATTTGCTTATAGCTAATCCAGAACAGAGCACTGCTTGTGTTAGGAGGGGCAAAAATGATATTTTTTTCTCTTTTGCATAGTTTTTTTTTTCATAAGGCACATCGGCACTTGATAAACACCTAAAGTGAGAGTTGTGTCTGGTCCTGGAAGAACCATCTTCATGTCATCAGACAGGTTTGAACCAGCTTTGAAAGGCAAATCAGGTCTCACTCATTGGATGTTAACTAGATCATTACTAGCAGCACACATCCATTCACTTGTGGTTTGGGTAGGAAGTGACAGTAACATCCTGGCGCTAATCTAGAAATTGTGCATATTCCGACATTCAGTTGTCATGCTGTAACCCTTCACAATTATCAGATGTCTACAAACAACAAATTGTGCAGCAGGTTGGGGTTAAGCAAGTGAAAAAAGGCAATGTGAATCAGAATTAAAAGAATTATTTGCATAAAAGAGGCGTAGTGGCAGGAGGCTATTTCAGTAACAACGAAGAACACGCAAACCCGAAATGTCCAATCGTCAGTTGTAAATCTTAGAGTCGTTATGTTTTGCGTTTGTGTCAGAATTCAGATTTTTTTTTTTCCTCTTTACATTTTTCGACACTATGACAGTGTGTGTTCTGGTAACAGGGTGAAGTCAAGTTCAATGTCTTTTTTCCAGGTAGAAGCAAAGTGGAGATTGGGGTTCAGAGCAGCAGACGAGGCGGCCCGCTCTAACCCAGCTGGTCCTCATATTGCTTACGGAAGCAGTCTCCAGTGGGGAAGAAGTCCCAGCATCTCTCCTGGTACATCTTCCACACGTATGACTCCTGAAAAGGGAAGGGAATGATTTAAAGGGGCCACGACTGCACATAGTTTTGGTTATACTCATTCACAGTTAACTGTTTCGAGTAATATGGCGAGATCTCTTTGTACTGTTCAGTCTTGCTGACCTCAGTCCTCAGAAAACTGTTAGGGCCAGATTTACCTACAATCTGCGTCATCACAAAAACCTCCTTTGGCTTTAAGAAGCTACTGTCGTGCTTTTACTA